TCTGATTGGCCATTGAGTCGTTGAAATCAACAAACATGTCTTTGATTGGCTACTTTGTTCCCCTCTGCAAAAATGCATTGTAAAATCATTTGACGCTTTCCAAAACAGAAGGGCAGATACACTGGATTCCGTTTTAACCAATGAATGTGACCACACAATGAAACTTTTTTTTTTATGAAGTTTACGAGCATGATAGAAGTCGGCACCGGACAAAAAGCGGTGAATGCGTGGATTCCAACCTAAACACCTCTGATTGGCCATTGAGTCGTTGAAATCAACAAACATGTCTTTGATTGGCTACTTTGTTCCCCTCTGCAAAAATGCATTGTAAAATCATTTGACGCTTTCCAAAACAGAAGGGCAGATACACTGGATGGTTTGCCAAATGTATTTCGTTATGCTATTATTACGAAGAAAACAGATACTAGACCATGAGTTATGGGCAGCGTTTCCATCTAAAAGCAAGCAGTTAGACTATTTTACACTATGAGTTAGACTATTATAAATGCGAAACTAAAGTCCGACCGTCGGCACAGGGATGTCCCCCCCCCCCGGCCCCCGCTCTGGCGCCGGGCCAGATATGTATAGTTAGATTACCACTCTCAATAAGTTAGTTATGTAGGCCTATATGTTTAAAAACTGTTTTTACGTCTAGTATTGTATGTTTATATTTATGCTTATTTATGTAGCACCGTGGTCCTGCGTGACACGACATTTCGTTCCACTGTATTTACTGGAGCATCTTTACTGGAGCTTGACTTGACTTCCCTTATGTGTGTCTGAGTGATCTTATCTCCTCTCTTACTCCTGCCCTCCCTTTCACTCCCCTTGTGATTTGCCCTCCTCCCATCTGTGCTCTCTCTCTCTATTCTTTATTCATATCTCTCTTTATCTCAATGTTCTCTCTTTATCTTTATCTCAACATATTTCTTAGGGTTCAAATGGTGAAAGATGGTGGGGGCCTTTTCAGACCTAGGTTACTGGGTTTAGTTTGTCCTTTTCTGGAAGTTGAAGTGTCCCTCTGCCAGAAGTATTCCTTATATGTCCAGTATTTTACTACTAAATTACTGAAAGAGTTGTTACCTGTAGCAGAAGAACCGCTTCTCAATATTATTAACTCGTCGTTGTCTTTAGGTCACGTCCCAAAACCATTCAAGCTGGCGATTATTAAGCCTCTTATTAAGAAACCACAACTAGATCCTAGTGAACTGGCAAATTACAGACCCATCTCAAATCTTCCTTTCATGTCTAAAATTTTAGAAAAAGTTGTGTCCGCTCAATTGCGCTCCTTCCTGCAAAAAAAATGATCTCTATGAAGAATTGTCAGGTTTCAGGCCCCACCATAGCACAGAAACTGCACTTGTTAAAATTACAAATCACTTGCTTCTTGCGTCAGACCAAATTTAATTATTTTATAATTGCTGTTAATAGTGTTCATCGTCTTTTTTATTACGTCTTAAATTGATTTTTCCGTACATTAATTGACAGTCACCACTGATAAGCTACCACTAAATATTGTAGAAACTTAATTTGCTGTAAAGTTGCTTTGCAATGATTTGTATCGTGAAAAGCGCTGTACAAATAATCTTGACTTGACTTGACTTGACTTATTTCCTGATCAGATATTTATCTTATATAACACATATTCTTGGCTCAAATACAACACATATCCATATATTATTGGTTGAAAGGGGTGCAACACCCCTATTGTGTTCTTATACAGTATATACCCCTGTATAAGACAATAAAGATTTGAAGTGAAGGTATGATTTTGTGTCTGTTGTGCCTTTTCTTCCCACGGCCGTGAACACTTTTGAAGGACTGAGAAAACTTTGGTGGTGACGAGAAAGGACGGGACCATTTCGTTTAAGTACTTGACAATAACCAAATTAAATTATTTTTTACCTTTAAAGGTGGGGTAAGCGATTTTTCAAAAACGCTTTAGAAAACTGATTCGGGCCGAATAGCAAAACAAACTTGTAGCCAATGAGCAGTAAGGGGCGTGTCTACTCATGATGTGGAGGAAAGAGCGTTCAGTGCACGGGACGGACATTAGCCGAGCCGAGCGACAGAAATATAGAGGAAAATACAATTATAGTTCAATAATAGTAAAAGAAAACTATAAAATAAGAAAAAATAGTCTTTTCATCAATATCTACCCGGGTAGTAAATATGATCAAAAGTTCTTATCTGATCCTTGTGTAAGTTCACTCAAGGAAAAGTTCAGTGGAGACTGAAGATCCTAGACTCTTCTGATAGATCGCTCATAGAAACTTCACTGCTCGCGATATTTCTTCTCCGGAGTTTCACTGGCTTGCCATCTTTGATCCAACAACCTCGTGGCGTCGTAGACCACAGGGAAACGTTAAGGAAAAAATTAATCAGAGTTCGTGATTATGAGGGAAAAAATTATGAACTCTGTTTCCTCGGAGCATAGCATGCATCGCGTAACCTTTTTCACAGGAGGATTCAAAACGGCAATCTCATAATGCTGTATAACGCTGGCTCTGCTCTCTTGAGACTGTTCACCTGCGCACCTACAGGCCACATCCATAACTGCACCCACCACTTACGTTAACCCTTTCCTGTTAGTTTGGGTGGGTTACAATCGGATCAGCTTTCCAGCGCTGGAGAGAACTCAAGGAGCGGAAGGCCTGCGATCGGACGCCGAGGTTGCTTTGGTTCTTCTCGATAGGTGAGTAACAGCGTGTCTGCGCCGCAACAACTAAAGTCTGTCTAGTACACTGGATGCGACAAAGCGACAAACGCAGCAGCAGTTTTCTGTTGGGGATTTGTCGTGTCGTGCCGCATCCAGTGTAGACCATAGATATGTATATATATCTATGGTGTAGACAGCATCACTGATTATAATGAGTTCTATAGTATTTTGTCACGGCGCACACTCGCGTCCGGTGTAGACACGGTGTAACATTGGTTTTGCTTTGTTTCACAGAACTAATCGTTGCCTGGGTTGCGTACGTATGTGTGGGGCGGAGCTATCAAAATAGGGGCGAGACCCTTTTGGGGTAGGGGCGTGTTTGTTTTGGTGATTTCAAATGTCAACATTGGCTACCAGAAATCACTTACCCCACC